CCCCCCCCCCCAGAAAGCATGATTTTTTTTTCCTCCTCTGCCCCCTGCCCCCCTGCCCCTCTTCCCGCAACAGGCCAGGCAGGGGAGGAAGAGAGAGGAAACGCAGGAAATGCGATCTGCACCGTCCGGAAGAAAGATTGGGGGGGCTGTGCAAATCCTCCCCCTGGAATTGCAAGGAAGTGTCCAACTCGTCACCCCCTCCCACACACACATACACATACACACACGTACAGTACAGGTGCACCGATTCCCAGGGTGCCCCGTGGGACAGACAAGTTGGTCCCCTGGACGGCCAGACCCGTTTCCTGCTCCCGTCGCTGCCCTGGAGGACGGGGACAGCTGGGCCTTCCGTGGAATCCTCTGGAGCAGCCTGGGGGAGGAGGAGGAGGCGCCCCCCGCGGGCACGGCTGGCTCCTTCCAGCAGCCTCCCTCCCCCCCCGGACGCCGGCATCTCCGCCTCGACCTCTCTACTCGTATCGGGCGATGAAGACCATCATGACTACGCCGCCCAGCAGGCTCAGCACCTCCATCAAGGACTGGACCGGCCCCGCCTCCTGCAGGAGCTCCGGGATCACAGAGACGGTGGCCACGTAGATGAAGCCGCCGGCCGTGAAGGGCAGGATCCAGGCGGTGGCCGCCTCGCCCACGCCCTCCGCCAGCAGGGAGCAGACCGTGCCCGCCAGCGCCCCCAGGGCCGTCACCAGCTGCAGCTTCATGGCCTGGGAGGGAGAGGAGGCCGGTCAGCCGAGACCAGGGAGCCGCCCCCCCCGTCCCTACACAGACCCCCGCACAGCAGCCCCTCCGTCCCCAGGGAGCTCCGTGCGGAAGAGCCCGCGGGCCTTTGGGCCGCCCCTACCCACCTTCCGCTTCGTGCAGCCGGACTGGACGAGGATGGCGAAGTCGCCCACTTCATGGGGCACCTCGTGGAGCAGCACGGTGAGGGTGGTGATGGCGCCGACGGTGCTGCCCGCCACGAAGGAGGCGCCCAGGGCCAGCCCGTCCGTGAAGTTGTGGGCGAAGTCGGCGGCCAGGTTGAGGTAGCCGGCTACACGCATGGCTGGGGGAGNCCCTCGGAGCCCTCCGCCGTTCCTGGCCATCGTCCTGCGGAGCGGAAAGGCGCCTTAGCGGGGCTCTCTATGGCCGCGCTCCCCCACCCCCTGGGACCCCTCTGCGCCCGCGCTCTATGGCCGCGCTCCCCCCCCCCACTGGGGCCCCTCTGCGCCCGCGCTCTATGGCCCCCGCGGGACCCCCAGGCTCACCCGGCTCCCGCAGGCAGACAAGGCAGAAGCGCCGGGCTCACACCAGACGTGGCACCCAGGCCCCGCCCACCGCCCCTCCCAACCCTCGCGAGAGAGAGAGAGAGAGCGCCCCGCCCGCCCCCATCATGGCGGCCGCCCCGTAGAGGAAGCCCGCCCTCAGCAAAGATGGCCGCCGCCGCCCGGAGTGCGGGGCCGAGGGAGGTTTTCCCCGCCAGCCTCCTCCTCCTCCTCCCCTTCGTCATCGCTGCTCTTGGCCTTGGCGGCTGCAGGAGAGGAAGAGCGTGGAACAGGAGGCGTTGAAGGACGGGGCCGCCCTGAGGGGTCCCCACTTCTGCTGTGCCCGCCTGCCCCAAATGTCCCAGAGGAGAAACTGCTTCACAGTCCTCCCTAAGTGGTTTATGGAGACAGCCTCCTGCCCCCAACCATCTGGGTCCTCCTTTTACAGGCCTCAGAAGGACGGAAGGCTGAGTTGACCTTGAGCTGGTCAGGATTGAACTGCTGGCAGTGAGTGCTGCATTCTAAACCCTGCCCCACGGTGGGCTCCCAAGGGCTGCTATGGGGCAGGGATTCCAGAGGGATCCACCTCCCCATTCCATGTGGGGGGGAAGCTCCACAGCTCCCGAGTCCTTCCCCAGCACCATGGATCTTGGCATCGGAGGCAGCTGGGATGCCGTCCGTGGCAGCTGTACCCACCGTGGCTGTGTCCGTGGCTGTGTCCGTGTCCCCCTTTGACGTGCCTGACAAACTTCTCCACCACCAAGAAGGCCACGATGCCGCTCAGGACCCAGAGGCCGACGGCCATCGTGTGCTGGTGCTCGGGGCCTGGAAGGAGGCGAGGGGCAGCACTCAGGGGCTTCCAAGGGGGGGGGGGAGGGCTCTCTCTTTTTAAGGATTCGCCCTCCCCAACCCCCTGCCCTGTAAAAGCCGAGGAAAGGGACCGGTTCTCCTCTACTTGCCCCCCCAGTTCGGCCACCAGGGAGACAGGCGCCCAGACCCCCACTTCAGCGAAGGGGGGCAGAGTTCCTCCTCTTCAGCCCCCAGGGCATTGCCTCCGTCCCTACCTTGGTGGGAGTGGCCGTGGCCGGAGGGCTTGGTGTGGGAATGGCTGTGGCTGCCGGCTTCTTCTCCGTGGGGAGCATGGGATTCTGCGAGGGGAGAGAAGCACCAGCTGTGGGACCTCACATGCTCCCTGTCACCGTCCCAGTGAGTGGGGGGTGGGTGGGAGGGACCCCCCGTGGGTGGGGGGAGAGGATGTAGCGGGGACTCACCCAGGGCGTGGGGGATGAGGTGCAGGAAGGCGTCCCCCAGGAGGCCCCCCGAGGCGAAGCTGAGCAGGAGCTTGAGGAGGGCCTGGTGCTGGGGGCTATTGGACTCCACCGGGATCAGGAAGAGGATGAAGTAGGGGGCGGCGCTGATCAGGAGGGTCGCCCCCAGGGCCTGCGGGGGAGGGGGGAAGGGGAGCAGGGCTCGGTCACCCTCCAGACCCCCAGGGGGAGAGGAAGCCCCCCACTCGGGACTCCCCCACCTCCCCATGGCTGGAGGCCATCAGGAGGGCGCCTTCCTCCCCCCCCCCCACAGAGTCGGAGGCGGTGCAGGGAAGCCCCCCCCCCCGACTCCTTCCCCTGCGGGGACCTGCACCCCACACCGGCTGAGGAGGGGTCCCTTTCCCTCCCACTCACGTAGCTCCACAGGCGGAAGGGCTCCAGCTTCTCCCTCCTGGCCGGGGCCCCCCTCTGCCCGGCGGAGGCTTTGGGGGACCCCGCGGGGCTCTCATGCACGCGGTCCCCGTGGGAGTGGGCGTGTCCTTGGTGGGAGTGGGCGTGGCTGTGGCCCTCGTGGGCGGGGTCTCCGGGGCCCGGGCCGTGCCAGATGTGCTCGTGCGTGTGCCCGTGGCAGCCGTGTCCTCCGTGGGAGTGCCCGTGGTGCGCGTCCCCGTGCTGGGCGGAGGCGGCGCACAGCAACGCCGCGCAGACCGCCAGGGCCGCCACCGGGGCCCCTCGGAGCCCTCCGCCGTTCCTGGCCATCGTCCTGCGGAGCGGAAAGGCGCCTTAGCGGGGCTCTCTATGGCCGCGCTCCCCCACCCCCTGGG